CCGGGCTGTGCCCAGCCCAGCTCAGCTGTCCCTGCGCACAGCGATCAAGCTCAAGGTTAGCGGGAGCCTTAACCCCTGCGTACCCACAGCCACACCCGCCAGGAGGAGGAGCCTGTGGAGACTCGTGGGTGCCGCGTGGCCGAGCCGCAGCACCCCCAGCTCAGCCTGGGCACAGGTCCCCGCACCCCCAGCGGGAGGGTGACCCCGGCGCCCAATACCCCGCTCTGCCCCCAACGGTGCCCTCTGCTGACAGCTGCCAGGCGCGGAGGGGACGCATGCCAGCGCCCCAGCCCTTGCTGCCCCAGGCTTGCGGTGACCCGACCACACTCAAAGACAGCTGCCCCCAGAGTCCCAAGGCCCCCCACGGGGGACAGCGGACAGGGTCGAAGGGACGGGGCGGGGCGGGGGATGTCCCGGGGTGGCAGGCTCTGTGCGGGGGAAGAGGGCCGAGCCCTCACCCCGGCCCCCGCCCCAGCTGCACCCTCGCCTACCCGGCACGACCTTCATTGGGGACAACAGCAGACGCGCGCGGGGCAGACAGGAGTGGGCGCGGGGCGTGGGAGGGTCACAGGCCCCTCAGGCGGCGGAGAGCAGGCCCAGCAATGTGGGAGGGCGGAGGGCAAGGCCTGCGCTGTCAGCAGCGCGCTGTGGGGGAGGGGCGGGTGGGCAGGGGGCCCGGGGATATAAATATCCGAGGACAGCGAGGCCCGTCATCTGTCCAGACTTAGAACATGACGTGCCGAGCGAGGGCACCGGGGCCCAGGCCTTCGCCCCGTGCGGCCCAGCCGGGGGCGCCCACCGGCATCACCCCCCGGCTCCCATCCCAGTTCTGAGCAGCAGCAGCAGCCTCCTGGCCCAGCAAAGGCCCCAGGGAGGCGGCGCGCACCCCCACCTGAGCAGCAGTGGGGTGCACTTGGGAAAGGCCACAGGGGCAAGGGAGCCCCAACACGAGGCACTCGACACAGCACCTGCCCCTGCAGGGCAGGCGGCCTCCCCGAGGCCGCACCTCCAGCCACAGGCCCGGGCAGCCCCCAGGGCAGGGCCACGGGGATGTGACCGAGTTCCCCCACGAAGGGGCTGTGCCTCCCTGCCCCAGGCCACTCCCGGCGTCCACCCTGGCCCCACCCCAGGAACCCCAACGGCAGCTGTCTGCCCAAGGCCTGGGGCCGGAGGCTGTCCTCGGCAGGCAGGCCCGAGCCACATCCAGGATGTCAGGGAGCCTGGGGAAACAGGACGTGGGGGTCACCATCCTGCCCGCCCCCGGCCCTGGCAGACAGGCCTGGGACTGGATGTGGGGTCTCTCTGGCCCCTCGTGGCACTTGCGTGACAAGCAGGACCCTACCAAACCGTCCCAGTGCAACGGCAGTGAGCCGCATGCCATCACAGCGTCACGGGAGTGAGGAGCCAGGCACGCAAAGGGCGAGGGGCTGGCCTGTGGTCCTGCAGGCTGGAGGGGAGCCCAGAGGCCCCTTGGGCACCCCGTCAGCCGGCAGCAACGCACAGCAAGCCACGCCTGGCCCATGACCGCCTGGGTCGGGCAGCCTGGCCCTCGTGGGGAGGCCCACCCGGTGCTTCAGACACTCGTCTCTGAAGGGAACTGGCCTGCAGTGGCCGGCTCTGTTGACCAGGGCTGGGCTAGGGGACCTTCAGAGGAGCCTGTTGGGGGGTCAGGGGACCGGCTTAAGCTCCTCCAAGGCAGTCAGCAGCTTCCACCGCCCCACAGAGACCTGGGGCAGGGCCAGATGCCTCCGGACACGCCCCAGGGCAGCTCTGAGCGGGAACTGTACTCATCCTGCATTCCTGAGGTCCAGCCTCCCTCTTCCCCCCTGCCCGGGGCCCAGTCAGAGGCCTGGATAACCCCCTCCCCGGGCCCCCGCCCCCCCGCTGGCCGCAGCCCTGCCAGGCCCTGCCCTACCTTGGCCCAGCTGAATCAGCTCCTCCATGCTGTACCTGTCCATGGCTGCTAGCACGGAGCAGGCGGTTCAAGCCACAGAGAAGAGAGGAAGGGAGGCAGGAAGGCGGGAAGGGGTGGGAGGCTGAGGGACGGCTCCCCACCCAGCTCTGGGAGCCCTGGCTCCTCCTCACAGCCACCCCTTAGTCAGAGGGGAGCGGAGCGGAGGGCCGCTGACCAATGGGTCAGGCCAGCCCGGGTGGCTCAGTGGGCCAGCCTGCCCTCGGGCACAGCCCCAGGGCCCACCAGCCTTCCTCCTGCGCTGGCTGCCCGCGCTCCCGCGCCCCCCACTCCCAGAGCTGGCCCTCCCCCCATCGCCCCCCACGCCAGCTCGACCAGCGGGGGCCAGGGCCCCGCCGCGCACCCCTGTCCCTGTGGTCCTCCGCCACCCACCAGCCACTGCAGGGCCAGGCCTCCAGCGAGCCTGATCCTGCCATAACCCCCCTTATGTCCCACAACAGGCGCAGGACCCCGACGCAGAGCTGGGGACTGTCACCGAAGCCGACGGGACCCTCGCGTCCAGCGACCACACCGGCCCCACTGAGCCGCCCAGAGGGGCAGCGCGGCTCTGCGCACCGACCCCGGGCCCCCGGCCACGGAAGGCAAAAGTGCAGGCGGGCGCAGCATCGTGCGCGCACGTGCCCAGTGCTCAGTGGCGCCGTTTTCTCCAAAACGTCTGGGCTCAGAGTTGTGAGGCAGGAAAAGCGTTACTTTGAAATTCACGTATAAAGACGCACTTCACCCTACACAGCAAACCCAAACTCCCGGCCACTGGCCATCCCCGGTCTCGCCCGCCCGCCCGCCCCCAGGCCTCCCTGGGCCCCTCCCTCTGCGGGGCTGCTGTGGCCAAGCAGGTTCCCCTTGTCGGTCAGGCCCGGCTCAGGGCACCTCCTCAGAGGGGCCCTCCCTGATTGCTCCCGAAGCTGCGTCAACGATCACTCCCAGACGGCGGGGGCTCCCCGGGCGGGGGGCTGCGTCGGGGTCTGGCGGGTATGTGGGCGGCAGAGCTGGCAGACACCTGCCCCACGGAGGAGCGGGCGGCAGGGCACAGGGAGGGGCCGGGGCACATGGGACTGCCCGGCAGCGTCCACGGCTTCCCGGCCTGGGCTGGGCGGCAGAGGAGGCCCACCCAACGGAGGTGGCTGTGGGGACCAGGGCAGGGGGCCCCACAGGCTCCCAACCGCACCCTCCCGCCAACGGTGAGGGGAGACGGGGAGGGAGGGAGGGGAGGGCGTGCCCTGGGGTTCGCTGCGTGACCGTCGTCCCCAGGCCTGGAGACCTGGATGTCACCAGAACCACCTGGCCCAGTGTGGAGCCACCCCGGCCCCTGCCGGTGGTGAGGAAGCACCGCACCCCACCCGGCAACCCAGGCGCCCTGGGGATCGAGAGCAGCCGGGTTCCTGTGCGGGATCCTGAGCGGGGGGACGCAGGGGAAGGGGGAGCCCACACCCCGGCCCTGACTCAGCCTGGAGCTGGAGCTCATTTCCTGTTGGAAACTCTGAGCGCCACCAGCAGCGGCTGCGGCGAGAGCAGGGGGGGGAAGACTGAGTCACCTCCGTCAGGACGGGGGTGCCCCCCGCCCACTGCGGCCACACCCAGCCCCCTCCTGGCCCTGCGGCCAAGTGCCCACCAGGCAGCCCAGCGGTCCAAGGTCCAACAGAGCCAGAGCCAGGAAGGGAGCGGAGAAAAGGAGGGAGGGGCCACGGTCACCACACCCTGACCGGAGAGGGGGCGGCGGCTGGCCGGCAAAGCCCCGAGGGTGGGCGTGGGGAGGGGAGGCCCGCGTCCAGGGTCCCTGGGCCGGGACCTGGCAACCAGGTGCTGCTCAGTGCTGACCAGTCGGCAGGCGCCCGGCCACACGCCTTCCTCTCGTGGAAACACTACCATGGCCTGCTGACAGGAACGGGAGAGGCCACGGGAGAGCCCAAGGCAGCCTGCACCCCACAATCCCACCCACCCGCCCAGGGGGCTCCCCGGGCACGGACCCAGGGGGTCCGACCCAGACCAGGCCAGGACGGGGGCCCTGCTCAGCGCCGTGGGCCAGCACCTGGGTCCCGCAACCCCCGTGCGCCAGGCAAACCCCTGCCCACCCAGCCAGCCACGCCCATGCCCCCGTCCCAGCCCCCCAGCGACCTCGTTCCTCCCCAAGTGTGAAGACACAGAGGCAGGGGGCGTGAGCCTGCCTCGCACTGGAGGACCCGGGCCACCCCCGGCCAACACCACGGCCGGCGAGCTCCGGGATGCGTGGGACACGCCTCACCCACCCGCCTGGGTCCCGCCAGCACAGGTGCTCAGGGACAGAGGGATGCCACAGACGGGGACCGGCGACGGGCCGCTGGCGGCCCCTGGGACAACAGCGCCTGTCCTGCCCGCGGAGGCCCGGCTCCTACGAAAAGGGGCCTGTCTGCCCTGGGCTGGGCCCAGTGCCCTGCGCCCTGCGGCCGGCCGGCCGGCGTGCCTCGGCCTGGGCTCTGCCCCTCTGCCCCGCCCAGGGCTGCCCCCTAGGCCATCACCAACGCCGAGCCAGCCGAGCACCTCAGGACAAAGTACCACATCTGAGCCACGAAACCATGGGGGCAGGGGGCGCCCCCACTGGACGCCGGGTAAGAAAGGTCAGGCAGGCGGCTGTACCCCACCCACCCCAGTGCCTCCTCCGTGTGTCCCCCCCTCCCCGCGCAGGCAGGGCCTGGGGCAGGCAGGCCCCTGGGTGAGGGCAGCGCTGGGGAGAGGGGCAGGGCTGTGCTAACAGCTGGTCCTGCCAGTCCGGGGCCACAAGCCCCACCCCTGGCCCCAGGGTGTGCCTGGGGATGGGCTGGCAGGGGCCCATGTGCTCCTGCTCGGCCTGCCCACCCCAGGTCCTGCAGCCAGGAGGAGGAGCCACGTGGTCCAACAGCAGAGCACCCAGCACCCTCAGGCGGAGACAGGGCCGCCGGCTGGTGTGAGCGGAGCCCCCAACAAGGGCTACTGTCCCGCCCCCCACCCCCCACACCAGGCCTGGGCCCCAGCACCCCCTCCCGTTCCCCGTGGCTGGGACCAGGACGCAGCTGACCTGTGGCTGGGGCAGGCTCCGGGCCAGGCCGCGCCAGGGTCCCCGCCGTGGTCGCGGGCGCCACCGGGGGCTCGGGGGCCCCTTCCTCAGGCTCCTTGCGGCGGTAGACCCGCCGCTCCTCCTGGGCAGGGTCCTCTGCGGGCAGCGGCCCCCGCTTGGGCGGGCAGCCCAAGGGGCCCTGCACAGCCTGCACGTGCGGGGCCCGGCGCGCCGGCATCACCATGGCGACGGGACGGCGCACCCGCTGCAGAGAGGCGGGCACGATCTCCGGCGGCAGGTGGAGGTACTGGCGCAGGTGGGCCACGCCCTCGTTGGTGAGGTACCAGTAAAAGTGGCGCCAGGCGAAGGTCTCCCGCACCAGGCCTCGCGCCCGCAGGGAGGCCATGGCGCGCAGGACCTGCAGGTTGCTGACGCCGGGCACGTGGGGGTGCAAGCTGCGGGGCCGCCGGTCCTTCTTGGCCACCATCACACCCTCCCGGAAGAGCACCTCGTAAATGGCCCGCAGCTGGTCCAGGGGCATGAGCATGCCAGCCACCATGGCTGCACAGCCGGTAAGCAGGGGGCGCGGGCAGGGCGCAGGGAGGAGGCCGAAGAGGCGCCTCGGCACAGGCAGCCACGGGGTCTGTGACAGGCAGGCAAGCCCGGCGCTGAGCTCTAGGGCCTGGGCTCCGGACTTGAGGCTCTGGCGCCTGGCTGCCTGGCTCCTGCGATTCCTGCCTGCCGGCACTTGGGCCTGCCCACCGCCTGCGCGAGCCTCCCGCCTGCCCTCCCTCCAGGACGCCCAGGCCGGCCCCCTCTGACTCAGCAGCACGGGCGGCCCCTCCCACCCACAGCCACCGGCCCCCTAGGAGAGTCGGGGGCACCTCGCAGAGGCAGCGACAGCCTAGGCCGCCCCCTCCCTCCCCTCCCAGGCCACTCAGCTCCAACGTCAGAAATTACATCAGTTTCTAAACACACTTCCTTCAAGGTTCCCCAGACGAGGGGGAGGGGGCCCGGAGCGGCGCTGGAACAGGAGTTTCACAGGGGGCAGACTGGGAAGATGGCAGCCAGGGGCAGAGGGCGGGAGGGGACCTCAGGCCGGGGACCCAGCACAGGGCTGTGGCCTCGGGGTTTCACGGGCCCCCAAGGACCTCAGGAAGGGCGCTGGGCCACCTGTGCCTGGGGGCGCGTGAGGGCTGAGGGAGGAGGACGAGGACTGGGGTCCTCGAGGCCTGGGGGAGGGCTGCGGTCTTGGGGACCGAGGCCCCGGGGGAACTGCAGCAGCAGCAGCGGCTGCCACACGCGGACCGGAGGGCTGCAAGCACCACTGGCTGCTGTCCACCTCCCATGCCAGGTCCGAGACAATGGCGACCCTATTTAGAACTCCCCAGGCCCGATCCGAGGGGCCCAGGAACATGGAGTCCCCAGGCCATGAGTGGGGCCTCCGCCCACCCCCACACCCAGGCCAGCTGTCGGAGGCCAGGAACTCTCAGCTGCCGCAGGAAATCAAAGTCACCAAGTGTCTGCCACCCCAGGCCCGGGGGGCCCCTGCCACCCCACAGACACCCCACCCTGCGCACACGCCCGTGGGCCAGCTGCACAGACGCTGGTCAGAGGAGGGCCACACTAGCAGAGGGCCGGGGGACCAAGTGAAGGGGGGGGGACCAACAGCCGTGGGAGCAGCCACTGGCCCCGCTGAGGGCCCTGGAGCCTGGCCGGCCACACCCATCATCACCCCTGGGCACCAGGACTGAGGCTCAGCCAGGGATGCCCTGTGGCCCCCCCCCTCCGACCACCCCACACCGGACTCCCCAGGTTCTGCTGCTTCCGCCCACACTGACCCACAGCCGGATCTGGGCCTCCCCCCCACCGTGGACACACCCATCCTCAGCAAGCCCTGCAACCCAGGAACCGATTATAAACTGGGCAGGGCCCAGGATGCCGCGGTGGAAGGCGCCTGCGGCTGGGAGGCTGCACGTGGGGCGGGTTTGTGCAGCTCGTTGCTATGGCACCACAGGGCTCACGGCAAACACAGCGCCCAGCACAGGCTGGCGCGCAGCCGTGGCAGAGGTGGCGGTGGAAAGTCGGAAGGCCCAGCCAAGCAACCGTTCCCACAGCCCTGCCCGCCAGCTCCGCGCGCCGCTCTCTCCCCGCCCACCCTGCGGCCACCAGCCAGGCGGAGAGGCCGCCAGCCCCACGCGGACCTGCTCCCGGAGGGTGGGGCGCGGGCCAGGGCGGTGCAAGCAGCGACACGCCCCCTCAACCCCGGCCACCGCGCGCGCGGGCACTCTCAGCCACTAGGGCTGAGGCTCCCAGGGCCCGCGTCCGCTGCGCTCCTGGCCCGTGCTCAGGCCGGCGGCCCGGCCCTGGACCCCAAGAGAGCCCGCTCTCCCGGCCTGTCCCGTAGTCCCCCCATGCGGACTTCCTGTCTCCCTCCACGGCCACCCGCTGTCTTCCCGGGGGGATTCCGCGAGCTAACACCCCAATTCCTAAGCGCCCTACCAAAGCAACCCACGGCCCCCCCAAAATGATTCCAGGCCACATCCACGGCTCCCGACACTTGGACTGAGGGGCTCCCCTCGCACTGGCCTGCGCGGGTGTCGGGCCAACCCGCCCGGCTCGGTCGCACCGGAGCCATCCGGGCAGGAGGGGGCAGCAACGCGGGACTCCGAGAAAGGGGCGGGGCACGGCGGGGAATCCCCGTCCCTCCCACCGGCCCGCGCCCGGGAATGCGGGGAGAGCAGTCCGGCCGGCCACCCCCGCTCCGCACTCGTTCCCACGGCGGACAGGGCAGAAGCACGCAAGCCCCGCCACGCACCCCCGCCCGCGGCTGGGAGGACGCCCCTCTGCCCCGCCCCCACCCTGCGGACCGCAGCCGCAGTTGCTGATTCAGCCCGGCCCAGCCGGGGCGCCCCCACCCCACCCCTGCGGCGCTTCCAGGTTTCCGCGGCAACCGGCCCGGGCCCTCGGGCAGCCCCCAGCCACCCCGCCCCAGAACAAAGAGCCGCAGTGTGGGCTCGCCCGGGGCCAGCCGGCCTGGCGCCTCCCCACGGGGATCCCCGGAGCCCTGCCCACCCCTCGGATGCAGGGCAGCAGGCGGGGCTCAGGCTCCGCAGAGTCCCGGAGGGGAAAAGGGGGGCGTCGGGTCCGCAGAGCCCCGGAGGGGTAAGGGGCCGACCTGCCGCACCCACCAGCTCCCACCTCGCCCCGCCCCCGCCGCAGCCGCCCCGCCCCCGGCGCGCGCTGGCTGCAGGGCTGCTGCAGCGGCCGGAGTCGCCCCGTCAGCCCCGCGGGCGGACCCCGCACCCGGCGGCGCTCCCCGGGGGCAGGGACCTGCGGCCTTCGCCGCTCCAGCTCCCCATCCCCACAGCTGTGCCGGGGGGGCAGCCCCTGCCCGCTGCCCTGCGGGGCTGTGCTCGGCCAGAGGTCGCAGCTGGGCCGCGCACCCAGCTCGGCCCGGCCCCGGCGCGTACCTTTGAGGGAGCTGATCTCGTGCTGGATGGCTCGCGAGGGGTCCATGTCTCCAGTGGCCCCGAGGGCGTCCCCGCCACGCAGAGTCCAGCCCCGCACCGCACTGCCCCGGCCAGAGCCGCAGCCTGGGGGAGGAGCCCGGAGGCGCGGGGCAGGGCTTGCCGGCCGGGGGCGGGGCTTCGGCCGATCGATGCCGCCGGGGCCTGGCGCATGCTCCCGGCTCGGCACCGCCCGCCCCTCCCGGCCCCCCGCTCCGCAGCGCCTGACCCCAGCCGACGGCCCGGCCGAGAGGCCGGATGCGGGCACACTCGGGTGGCCCACCCACCCCACCCCACACTCCCCCAGCCTCCCTCGCTGGCCACCCGCTGAGGGCCCTCCGGGCGCTCCTGCACGTGATGCTCAGGCACGAAGCCACCACCACGCACTCCCTCCGGAAGCCACCCGTCCTTCTGGGCACCCTGGGAGAGGAGGGAAGGCGGACCCGCCGCCCCACGCAGGAGCTGGGGGCCCGTCCCGGCCGTGCCCCAGGCCCCTAGGCTGGCGCCCTCACCGCCACGGCTCAGGTCCCGCTCCCCCAGGCCCCATCGGCCCGCCCCAGCCTCTGCCCCTCCCACTCGGCAAGCCAGCGCAGGCCCGTGGGGACCCTCTGCGGCCGCAGCACCACCGCCCCCCAGGAGCTCAGGCCGGCCCCTGGGGCATGGACCCCACAGGCCCTGGCGGCTCTGCCTTCCAGCCTGTCCACCTGGCACCCTCTCCACGGCCACCCCTGGTCCGGGCCACAGAAGCCTTGCCCACCCCTTGGGCGCTCACCCCGTCCTCGCCAGCCGCTCCCCTTCCGCTCCCGCCCGCCCTGCTGGGCTCCCTGGCCGCCTCAGTCTCCAGCCAGGCCCGCCCCCCCCCCCACTTCCTCTAGCCTCAACCCAAGGCCCCTCGGGGCCCACGCCCTGAGCAGCCAGGCCACCTCCTTCGAACACCCACCCTTTCTGCAGGCAGGGCTGCTGGGGGTCAGGCCAGGGCTGCAGTGGAGGGCGCGGCGGTGGCACCCACGGGCACAGGCTGGTGGGCGGGGAGGCGGGCGCGGCCGCGGCCCCACGCTGGCTCGGGGCCTGCGGGTCATCTTGCTCACCGCCGCCCCCCCCCCCCCCCCCCGGCCGGACTCAGCCCCGGCCAGGGCGGCTGCACGTCTCCAGAACGAACAGTTACCAAACTTGGGGCAAACGGCAAAGTGAGGAATTAAAACAGGATTTTGTGATTCTTTACACCTCAATTCCCATTACTTTTCTATTCGCTCCTTCTGGGTGCACCTCAGTTCAGCCTGTCCCGGAGTAGCACTTCCTTACTAAGCTTCAAATGAAACCTGTACTTCAATAAACCGATCTATAACTATGGAAAACTCACCCCCCAAAAATCTGTGCTAGTTCTATTTTGACACCGTCCACGATTGAATCTTAAGAGACTCCGTTTCAAGCCGATGAAACGTGAGACATGGGGCAGAAGGCTGGGCACCACCAGGCTCTTCCTAACTTTTCAAAGCCACAGGGACAACCATTCGGAGAAGCAATGTCCCAGGCCGTTCAAGGCCCCTCCAGTCAGGCTGCCCACCCGGGAGCGGCCACGCCGTCACCTGCCTCCCCGCCCACCAGCCTGTGCCCGTGGGTGCCTCACACGGCGGCCACGTGCAGGGGCCTCGGAAGCGGGCACAGCCGCGCAGCCCCCGGAGGGGATGGGCAGGGCCGTTCCTCGGGCCCGTCTCAGAGCGGGCCTCCCGGACGGAAGGGCAGGCTGCAGCCGGCCGGCCAAGGGACGGGGACGCTGAGAGGAGAGGAGCCCAGCCAGCACCAGGGAACGGGGCAGCCAGAGCCACAGCTGCGGGTAGGGTTCCGCAGGCCCGGGGGGCCCCCACTGCCGGGACGAGGGCCTGGCCGCGAGCGGTGAGGGGACGGCAGCTCTGCCGGGGGAGGAGGCCCACTCCGGCGCCCCCCGCAGTCCTCGGCTTTGACTGGCCTCCCTGCCCAGATCTCGTTTCGGGGCCCTCAGGAAGGCAGGTGGTCGGGCCCCGGCTGGGGCGGCTCCGCGGACCGAGCGCCG